CCGGCTGGCACAGCTGAAGTTGGTGCATGGTCTGATCCAGCCCATGCTTGAGGGCTCTGGCAGGTGTAGGACACCTATTTTCAACACAGAGCCTCCAGAAACTGAGGCATCCCTGTGCTGGAGGCCAAAGTGAGGCAGGCTGCAAAACCTCAGGCGCTACAGTGGCTATTTTCTGTGGGGTGTCCTGCACTCCCAAATTGTTTCCAGCCTGGGCACTGGAGCCTGGTAGGTGGCACCACATCATGCATACCACACCCTCAACACCGGCTTGGCTCAGCAGTTCATTTCCTTTAATAGATACACAGTTATGTGGCTGCGGTGCAAGTGGACAGGGAGCCCAGCAGCACTGAGCCCCAGCCCCCCATGCTGAGGTAGAGGTGAGCGTTGACCCACACTTGCTTGCTTTGGCATCCAGGGGTGCAAGCAGGTGGAGGAGGCACGTGCCTGGACCCAACGAGGTAGTTTGGAGTGCCCTCCATCTCCCTGCCCCCTGGCTGGGGACCACAGAGTGTCCAGGCGGTCATTGGTGATGGGGAGCACTGCTGGGCCTTCCTGCCCTGCCCCACCAACAAGCTCCTCCCAGTGTACAAGCCCAATCCTGATATTAATCCCCAACTCAACAAGCTCCACCCCCACCCAAGAACCTCTCACATCTCATCCTTACCAGTCCCGCCAGTTTCCCCAACATCTGCCCCTCAGGGTGAGCCCCCTGAGTTGAAGACCTGGGGGCTGGAGGTGCCACCACCCTGTGGTGGCCAGGGGATGCTCAGGGATGTCTTGAGTAGGGGAGAGCAAGCACAGGCAGTGCAGGAGGGCTACACAGGGGAGTCTGCAGAGAGCAGGGGGTGTGGTATATAGGGGATGCTGTGCATAGGGGCTACAGCTTATAGGGGCTGCAGCGTATAGGGACTGCAGAATTTGCACGGAGGATGTGCACAGACGATGCAATGTGGGCACCAAGGGCGTGTCTAGGGAATGCTGTGCGTGCACTTGGGGTGCTATAGGGGACACACAGTGTAGGGGGTGCAGTGTATGCATCGAGAGTGTCTAAGGAACACAGCGTGCATAGAGGGGTGGACAGACCAGAGAGTGGAAGAGATGCAGCCTGTGCGTTGTGCATGGCAACGTGGAGGATGCAGTGTGTGCACTGAGGGGTCGGCAGGGGCTGCACCGGGGCGGGTGTAGAGGATGGTGTGTAGAGGATGGATCAGGCAGGGCCTGGGGGTGTCTCAGGCAGCAGGGCAGGCAGGAGCTGTATGGGGGTGTCACCTTGGGGCAGCACCTGGGAAAGAAGGGAGGCCATGCGTGGGGGTGGGGGCCTATGTGTAAGGGACAAAAAGGTTCATGTGGGTGCTCACAGCCTTGAATGGACACAGATCAGTATTGCAGCAAGAGACACCTTTGGGTTGCCCATCCCACCTTGGTGGCCCAGCTGCATCTCACAGCTCAGCCCCCAGGCCCTGGGGACCCCCAGCGGCTTTTGGGGCTGGAGAGACATCTTTATGGCGAGGTGGTGGTGGGAGTGTGGTTGTGTGAGGGGGCTTGAAGCAATGGGTTTGGGGCAGGCATAGGGTTCGGCCGGGTCTGGGTGCTTCCTCCACTGGTGGCTGCGGGGGCCGGGGGCCGGCGGGCGAACAGGACGCCTGGGGAGCAAAAGCAAGGTGTTAGGGCAAGCCAAGGTTTGGGGGCTCCACTCACCTGGCACCCTCCACCCAGGCTGAGGATGTAGGATCAGCACCCATGGAGACTCCAGCTTCACCCATCACCCTTGGTGCCTCCCCCAGCCCAGCTGCCCTTGCCTGCATGAGGCAGCCTGTGGAGTGGCCTGGGACTGTTTGGCTGTTAGGTCCATGTGCTGGTTAGCCCTGACCTTTCCAACTTGTTCAGTCCTGAAGGAAAAGCCATCCATTTTAATTGGAGGTGTCTCAGTGGGGTAGGGCAGGGAACAGTGGGGCACAGGATGAACTACTCAGCCAGGTAGGTGTGCATCGACTCCCTGAAGAAGCCTCTGCTCCAGCAAAACACCCCAACACCATGCTCTACATCCAGCCAACCCCTGCACCCAGCCAGAGACTCTCTGGACACACTGGCATTGGGATGACCCTAAATCCAAGGAATTTAGTCCTGAAGGACCCCATGGTGGGGGATGGCCCCAGATGCCTTTTTGCACTTCTCAGCATGACTCTGTTTGTCTGTCCATCCATCCATCCATCCATCCATCCATCCATCCATCCATCCATCCATCC